GAGTGGGCCCAGTTTATTGTGGGCCTAGTGGAGGAAAAAGAAAAAATAGAGATCCCTGGGGCCCACAGTTTGTTTTGTTATTCTCCCCTGGTCCATTCCTGGTGGCCATGCCTCGCTCCCCTCTCTCTTTCTCTCGTATTCTGAAGATCACCAAAATTATCATGATGCAGTGAAATACAAGTGCAAGATCAAATAGTTTAATTATTGTTTGTTTGGTTGGTTGAAAATAGAGGAAAGAGTGTCTATGATTCCTACGCGATTATTACACGCTGCCACCTCGCTACGGACACTGCATTAACTTCGCCATGTTCCACTACAAACCTGACCGTTGAGATTCCATTTTATCACCATCGATTCTTTTCAATCCTCTAAACCTAACACTTCTCATACATCATCCACGTGTTTCATACTATGCTTCACTACTCGCCCTCCATATTGAAACTCCTCATTTTTAATAGTTGAATTATTTATATTTTTTTTATTTGTTGAGTGGGTCAACACACGAGTTACAATATTTGTGTTGCCTTCTTTTATTTGATATTATCTAACAAGTAGAAATCAACCTCTGTAGAAGATTAGGGTTGTGTAGGTTATATTAGGATTTTTAATTCAACAGAAAACAATTCGATCCCATCCAATTTTCATAAGCAAAGGCAAAATTGAGAAAGTGATGAGTGGGACATTATTGACATGCTGAATGGGTGTATAGAATCTCTTAGTCAAATAGTCAATGGATACGACCAACTTGTCGTGGCACTAAGTATTTGTGTTAGACACGGAAACTGGACCGGAGCTAATAAATCGCTTTACTTTCAACTCAGGTTCAATTAATCCTCTTTGTATTGAAATTTAAGACAAACTTATTCAACGTTGACCAAATATGTTTCCAACCATTCAAATCCGTTTAAACGACTCACTACTCCCGAGGGATGTACGTAACCCCCGAAGCTAACACCCAGAATCATTTATGGTTTAATCACAACATAATATTATTTTTTACTGTCGAAATATATTATTTTTCTCTTTAAATAACCACTAAATATATTATTTTTCTCTTCAAAATGTCATGTATATTAAATTTATTTGTATTGTAAATAACAAGTGCAGATTTGATTTAGTGGTATACAAAACCTACATCCTATACTTTATTTTCTGTATAATTTGTATGTTTCTATCTTAAAAAAACAAAAAAAACACTGGGGTCTTTATTGATGAGAGTGAAAGTGAAACTTCATTTTGACTTAGTTTAACTCTACATGACGTGTTTTATCCAAAATATCATTATGTGACATTTTGAAAACGCTAAATATATACTACAAATTATAACATGAGAAAATCATGTAACCACAAATGAACAAATATCGATTAAAGGATGCCCCATAGGTAGTTTATCAGTCGTGTTTAATATAATTTTTTATAAAATAATCACTCCTATCATGAAACTAAACAAAATATAATCTCTGCTATTTTTGCTATGTATTACTGTTTTTGTTTTAAAAGTAACATAATAATCTGTGATTTAGTCGCCTGCTTGAGAATATTATTCTTAATAACACTATTTCAAAACGTAGTTAAAAATAGAATTAGTCAGATTATAATATAATTAAAAGCAAGTAATAATATGATTCCCAAGTGTTAGTGTAGATTTTGACATGACATGAGATGGCGAGACATGGCATGGCCATGTCTGGTCCCCATAGTGGCAGGTAAAGGTCCGCGGCAACCTCGTTTTCAAGCCTAAATATTTGAAATTCGCATAAACCTCGCCTAGTTAACAACTTCCCCATGCTTGCCTCAATTCAAATATAGATACCTTCCTTCCTTCTTCAACCACCACACTATCAATGTTACATTTTCCTCCTTAATAATATTTTATGTTTCTATTTTTCATTCAAAACTTAAAAGTTCATAATAAAGGGTTCAAACATGTACATGGAGAAAATGAAAAACCTTAAAATGTACGACCACCAAAGGAATTGTTTTATTGCTTGGGTGATGTTCAAACACTCCTTCCAAGGATAAATTTGTAAATATGATTGAATTTGTTGCAAACATCAGCCATTATATTTTGTGGACATTTTTTCTTTCCAAGTTATACGTTATACAGCAAAACGCACACGATCTATGTTTAAATTCGAGAGGAAAAGGGCTTCAAAATCCAAAATTTCAAACAACACCACAAATTCAAATTTCAAGTGTGCATGCAGAATCAAACATCGTTGACTCCCTTAGCACGAACCAATATGAAGCAAAAATCATACTTTCTTATTTTCCTCATGTTTGAAAAGTGGATCTGTGAGAATAAAAAAGATAAAAAAAGGGTAGAAATGTGTGAAAAGTGAAATAAATTAATTTATTAATAATAATTTATAAAAATATTATTTATAATAAATAATAAAAAACAAATATTATTAGAAGTTATATCTCTCTCTATATATATTATGATTTTTTTCTTTAATTTTAGGTAGGAAGAAAATGTTGTATGTTAAAAATAATACTTTCCTTTGTTAAAAATATCGGAAAAACTAGTGGTTGTATTTTTTGGCCGTACTCTCTTAAAGCAGTGTGCGCTTCCTGATCTCCCCGGACTTTCTTGATGGTAGGGTTGGTGTCTTTTCCTTTGAAACCTCAAACACGTGATATCAAAAATTTCATCACATTTGACAAATCTCCATCCATTCCTTCAATTTTAAAATCTTTTTATAAACAATTTTTATATTATTATTATTATTATTTTTAAATGCATTTTTACTTGATATGATAAAAATTGAAAAAATATATATATAATTAAGTTATTATCTCGTTGAAAGAGTAGTCAGTTTCCTAAAATTAACCTCTCTTGATAAAAATGTTATATTTTTTAATTTTAGCTCAGTTGATGTAAGATTTTCTCGCCGGTTTGATTTGAAGATAAATTTTATTACGACATACAATTTATATGTCTATATTTTTTTTTCCACCATATCTTATTGGATATAATAATAATAATATTATTATTATTATTATTATTATTATGAATTTTGTCATATTTATTATTTATATTATTATTATTATTATATAAGTCAAGGTTTGACCATATTTATTACTCACTGATATTTTGACACTAAAAAAAGTAAATATATTATTTAATAATTATTTTTAAATTTTTTATATTATTATTTATCTATCTTATTTTATTTTTCTTCATTAATAAAATAATATTTAAAAATTTTATGTTTATAAAAATGGTTTAAAAAAAAATTCCATTTATTATTTATATCATTAACGTTTACATAATATTATTATCTCTATCCTAACATAACAATATAATCATAACTATTATAATAATCATAATTAATATAGTTATTATTAAATTTTGTTATTATTTTAATCATCATTATCATTATATAATTTTATTATTATTACTATTTATTCACCACTAGCATTAACTTTATCACTTATATTATCTTCATTGTTATCAATATACATATTATTATAACAATTACTACACTTCTCTTATTATCATCTATGAGTATTGTCATTATAAATACTGTTTTTATCATTATTAATGTTAATAATTTTATTATTATAATTTTCATCATAATTATATTATATTATTATTATTACATATTTTATTCATGATAAAATAGTGTATCATAATATATAAATGTAATTTTGTTTACTTTAAATATAAATTAATTTTAGTGTATTATTCATCTAAAACAATTAAAAAAAAAACTCTGTTTCAACACGTGATCGATTTGATTGTTATTGTTGAACTTAATCATGTTCTAAATCATGTGAGGGAATAAAGGAGGTTAGCAAGTTTATTTTAAAGAAATAATCTTATAATTAGAATTTGTCAAAACAAGTGGATTGAAAAAAATAAAGAGTTTATGAAAATAAAATTTATAAAGTTAATACATACTTGCCAGTTTTTTTGTAAGAAGAATGAGTTTCCTTTTATAATTTTTTTTAATAAATTTAAAAACATTTTGCTGCTTTTAGAATTTGGAATCCTTATTCTAAAAAAAATATGATATCGTTTTTTTTTTCCTTAAAGTTGAAAAAGTAAAGTTTTTTAAGAGATAAATAACTTTAAAGAAAATATAATTGTTATCGGGGCTCTTGGGCAGGAATAAAAAAAAGTTGTTATACTTATACATTCTCTAACAGAGTATTTATTTATCAAAACAAAACTACATATTATTGTAAAAATAAAAACACGAACAGTGGCGGTCAAAGTTTGTTGATAGCACGGTCAAAATTGAAACGATATTTTATTCTATCTTAATAATTTATAATTATTTTTTGTAAAATATTTAAATATATTATTTAAAATTTTTAACTATATTTGGGTGCGAATGTACGAGGAATCTGATTCTTGATTGTGAAGTAGTCAAATAATCACGCCTACTTGTTATTAGTATCACAAATATGACTACATTTTTTAAAAATATCTCAAAATAAATATTTTAATTTATAAAAAAATAACTTAAAACATTTAAAAAAAACATTATAAGAGATAATTAAAAATGAAAGTATCATTCTAATATAAATGCAGGTATATAATTACTTAAAAAGAAAGTATCATTTTAAAATATATTTTTATGACAAATTTTAAACAATTTATCATAAATTTAATTAGTGATTTGATTATTTATTTTTATATAAAATTAAAAGAAAATGGTTGGTCGACGAAAAAGTGATAAAAAGTTAAAAAAAAAAGAGATTTTAATCTGTTTTAAAATTGATTTTCAATTTTTTTTAAATCAGTTAAAATTTAAAAAATAAAATTATAAACATGTTATAGAATTTAAAAATCTGAACTAAGATTCATCCTAAATATCTAGTGCATTATTGATTTATCGTGGAGGGAAATTGAGGGAGAAGATTAATGCCCTTGAAACGGAGAGAAAGAAAAGAGTGAAGGAGAGAGGTCCCACAGTGCAGAAGCCACGCGGCAATTCGACGCGGATAATTGCGATTATTGAAGCAGAATCCTCCTAAACTCGAGAAACATGGTAAGTACATATAATTTAATTTTAATTAAAAGGAATATGGATAATATATGTAAGAGTAACAGCGTGATAGACACGGAAAATTGAATAATAATAAGGCCCAGGGCCCAAAAGCCCATTACGTTGCTTCCCTAACCAACCCACCCGTCTTCCTAGTTGCTTCCCTCGCTCAGAGCCTCTATAAATTGGATTTTACGTTCATGCAATTCTCGCCCAGTCGCACCTTCGTAGGATCCTTATTTTTCTCTCTCTCCGTTCCTAAGCTCCACCTCCTCGAATAATTGATCCACCCTTTTACTCTGTATTTGTCCCCCACAGCGGTATTCACTCCCCCTTTTCTGCATTCCGCTTTTAGATCTCTCTCTCGCACCAGATCTGGTGCAGGGTGCGGGTTGGGTTCATCAATTCTGTGAATCTTGCTTCTGAGGGTAGGCGTGGGGATACCAGAGTCTTTCCGGGAAGGAAGAGAGGGGACTCTCCGTTTTCAATAGATCTTTCACTGTCTTCTTTTGAGGGGGAAGCCGGGGCCTCGGCCTCGGCGGCTTTCAAAGCCCCCACCTTCACAGCCCTATCAACAAAACCCTAACCCTATTCTTTTTTTCTTTTTTTTTCATCTTTAATATTAATTTCTAATTCATTTTGATCGTCGCCGCCACAAGAGATGCCTGCCCTGGCTTGTTGCGTGGATGCTGCAGCACCTCCTGGCTATGCATTTGCCGGTGACATCTCTTTTCCGGCGCCGGTCTCTTTTACCGGCGTACCTCTGCCCGCGACTGACGACATCATCAACCATTGGTCGCCGTCTCTCTCCGCCGCCCTCTACAACGTCGACGGGTGGGGCGGCCCCTACTTCTCCGTCAACGCCGCTGGGAACATCTCCGTGCGCTCTCACGGCTCCGCCACCCTGGCGCACCAGGAGATCGATTTGCTGAAGATTGTGAAGAAGGCCTCCGATTCCAAATCTCTCGGTGGCCTCGGCCTTCAGCTTCCCCTCATTGTCCGCTTCCCGGACGTTCTCAAAAACCGTTTGGAGTCCCTTCAATCGGCGTTTGAGTATGCAATCCAATCCGAGGGGTACGACTCTCATTATCAAGGAGTATACCCTGTGAAATGCAACCAGGACCGCTTCGTGATTGAGGACATCGTCAAATTCGGTTCTCCCTTCCGGTTTGGTCTGGAGGCAGGGTCCAAGCCGGAACTCCTTTTGGCTATGAGCTGTTTGTGCAAAGGCAACCCCGACGCTTTGTTAGTTTGTAACGGCTTCAAAGACGCAGAATACATTTCCCTTGCCCTGATTTCCAACAAGCTCGCGCTCAACACCGTTATTGTTCTGGAGCAAGAGGAGGAGGTTGATTTAATCGTTGAATTGAGTAAGAAGCTTTGCATTAAGCCCATGATTGGGTTGCGTGCGAAGCTCCGAACCAAGCATTCGGGCCATTTCGGTGGGACTTCGGGGGAGAAGGGCAAGTTTGGTCTGACCACCGCTCAGATTCTAAGGGTTGTGAAGAAGTTGGACCTCGCAGGCATGCTGGATTGCTTGCAACTGCTGCATTTTCATATTGGTTCTCAGATTCCTTCGACAACGTTGCTTGCCGATGGAGTGGGAGAGGCCGCGCAGATCTATTGCGAACTGGTTCGGCTCGGAGCGAACATGCGGATCATCGATATTGGAGGTGGACTGGGCATTGATTACGACGGTTCCAAATCGTGTGACTCTGATATTTCAGTTGGATACAGTCTCGAGGAGTATGCTGCCGCGGTTGTTCACGCCGTTCAGTGTGTGTGCGACCGAAGGTCCGTCAAGCACCCTGTTATCTGCAGCGAGAGTGGAAGGGCCATCGTGTCCCATCACTCGGTCTTGGTCTTTGAGGCAGTTGGCACGAGCAGCACCGCCGTCGGAGCCTCCCCGGCATTTTCGGCCAATTATCTGGCGGAGGATCTTTCGGAGGATTATCGTTTTCTGTCGGAGGCGGCGTTTCGAGGGGACTATGAACGGTGCTTGGTGTACACGGAGGAAATGAAGGAGCGATGCGTGGAGCAGTTCAAACAGGGGACAGTGTGTATGGAACAGTTGGCAGCGGTGGATGGGCTGTGTGAGTTGGTGAAGAAGGCGGTTGGGGCTGGGGAACCGGTTCGGAGATACCATGTGAACCTATCTGTCTTCACGTCCATTCCTGACGCGTGGGGCATTGAGCAGGTGTTTCCGATTATACCCATTCATCGGTTGGACGAGAAACCTTGTGTGAGGGGTATTCTCTCGGATCTGACTTGCGACAGCGACGGCAAGATTGACAAATTCATCAACGGGGAGTCCAGTCTGCCGCTGCATGAAGTTGAAGGAGGTAGTTACTATTTGGGAATGTTCTTGGGTGGGGCCTACGAGGAGGCGCTCGGTGGATTCCACAACTTGTTCGGCGGTCCCAGCGTTGTGAGGGTCTCTCAGAGCGACGGCCCTCACAGCTTCGCAGTCACGCGGGCCGTGCCGGGTCCATCCTGTGGAGATGTTCTTCGAGTGATGCAGCACCAGCCCGAACTCATGTTCGAGACTCTCAAGCACCGAGCTCATGAGTATGTCAGCCACGACAGTGCTTCGGTTCTGGCCTCTGGCCTTGCTCGCACTTTTGACAGGATGCCTTATCTGGTTTCGCTGTATTCCTTTGATGATGTTGACGCCGCTGCCGTTCCCGCCCCCGAAGACGAGGTCGTGCAGTGGTCTTACTAAGCTTGTGCTCGCTTGAAATGTGTTTCGCATTATCATTCCCTTTCTTTCTGTTCGTGTTGCTTGTTTGTTGTCGTTCTTCGTCGTCGTCGTCGTCGAGGTCTTCAATTTTTCTACTTCAGTTTTCTGTTTTTAGTTTAGCACAGGATGCAGGACAAGGACAGGTTCAGTCAGTTATTGTTTTCTGCATTTTGTTTCAAATCGAAATGTCTATGACCTTCGTCAAGTTCTAGAGTAACAAATTTTTTTGTTGCCTTGCTTGTTATACTTAGAATAAAAATGTTCTGTTATGGACAAGTATTTTCTTTTACTTATTTTTTGTTTTGTAACTCCAGATTGAATTGTATTGATCGTGTGCGAACACAGTTCTTAGTTGCGAGGGAGGAGATAGCGTAATAGAAGAAAAAGGGTTTATTCTGATAGTGATGCCGTTGTGGGGTCCTTCTTTATTTCTGGCGTTGTATGTTGTCACAGAAGATGTTTAAAATGTGGTTGGTAAAAGGATGATGGTGCATGTGGTTCGACGTCGTGGTCTTATTCATATCATAGATACCAGTTTAGAATTGGCTTTTGCAGAGGTAGTAATAGAGAAAGGGTAAATTTGCCTGTTACCTCGATGGTTCGAGATTGGGATGCCGTGTTGCATTTGTTGAATTCTTTGCGTGTGGGGTTTTGATTGGATTATGTTGGGCTTAGGTAGGACGTAGAGTCTGTTGCGCAATCATCTAAGACACGCGAGTCCTGTGTATTCGTTCTCAAATTCTCAAATGTTACGTATGTCTCTGGAGCATAGGAATATATTTACTGTATAATTTTAAAAAAATTATAATCGCCGTCACAATACAAAAAATATTTCAATTTAATTGTATGTAAATGGGTAATTATTTTTTTTAATTTTAAGTATTTAGGTCTGTCAGCACGACTTTTGTGTATTTTTTTAATTAAACTCGTTATTATTTAAGCATATATATATAATATTATATTATATAAAATATATTTATTTAGTATACGTTATAAATATTTTAATTAAAAAAATAATATATATTATATACCATAACAAAAATATATTTAAAAAATAATCAATTTTTATATACTAAAGTTATTAATTGTATTAGTAATTTTAAATTTTTTTAATTTCATTATTGTATAATATATTTGTATGTAAATATGAAGTTAGTTATTTTAAAGAGAAGGACATAACAAATTAGTTTAAATATTATTTATTTTATTAAGTGGAATAAAATAAAAGATCAAAATAAATTAAATTTATTTTCACTGCATCCATTTTTTTTTCATCTTTTTATTAATGTTCTTGTTACAAATAGTTTGTTTATACAGGGATAGATCAGTTTTAGACTTGAATAGATTTTAGTCTTTCTGCAAAAAGTTCAAATTGAATTGAAACTTATGACTATTTCTAGGATTGAAGCCCTTATGAAAACATTAATTGCAATCTCAAGCTTAAATTTCAATTTCCTGTAACCATTTACTAAATAAGATCCTCTGGTATCCATGTTTTTGGACCTTCTTAGCATGCTTTTAACCTATTAAAGATTTAAATGACACGTGTTTGAGTTATGTCTAAATACGTCAGTTAATATATTGAAAAATAGATTTGTTTCCAAGTAATAATAAGACTCTCGTTTGTAGGTACGGGCATATAATATGGTGGGAGGGTTAGTGTTTACTCACTAATCCGCTTTAGTCGACTCGTCAAACCTCCATTCCATTAAGATGTAAGATGGGATGGGTAGTCCAGTGATCCGTCTAATTAATAAAAAAACAATTTTTTATTATAACAAAATTAATTATAAAAATAATATATAAAATTAAAAATTTTAAAAAGAGAATTAAAAAAATTTCACTCTCACAACAAATATTCTCTTTACTTGAAACACAACCTTCTTTCTCTTGTTCTCACTTGTTCATCCTAAACACTAATTATTTTTATTCTTATGACTTGAACGAAAGGTGTAAGAATTACTTAATTAATAATAATATGAAGTTTTATCAAATAAATATTTAAATTTTTTAATATAAAAAATATAAATTTTATAAGTTTTGACATTATTTATATATATATATATATATATATATATTTGTTATTATTTATTATTGTGTAAATTTTATTATTGTTCTAAATTATAATTTCTTAAAACTATATATTAATTTATATTATTAAATTAAAATAATATATATATATATATATAAATTGAATTATTAACAAATAAATAATAATCTTATTAATAAATTTATTAAAAAAATTTATTTTAAAAATAAATTATTTTTTTTAAATTATGGTGGACTGAACCCGCTTAATCAGTCACTCTTCCTTTGACGAGACGGATCAAGGTCTACAACCTGTTATGACTATAACATGTCAGTTCGTCTCATCCTATTTTTAGCGGATTAAAGACGGACGGATTAAAGACGGACCAAAATAAGGTGGACCGACCCGTTTTACCCGTCTTTAAAAGTAATCAATTACATATGATTGGTTGACAAAAAAAAATCCTAGTCTTTGAGTGTTGAAAAGTGATGCAGATATTTAATGTGATGGTGCTGAATGTCACACACACTGTGGAAACAAAGCCTCTCGGTTATTCAAATAAATGTCTTCGAGTGTTTGTTGCTTGATTAGTTAAGTACTGATTTTTTTCTTATAAATAAATATCTAAATACAAGAAGATGCATGAACGAGGGTAACAAAATGAATGGCCGTGATGTAGACTCTGTACCTGTTGCTTATCCACAGTTTAAGGTCTAAGAATAAAGTTGTTTGTTTTTGTTCACGTGTTTTGTGTTGTTTATTTTGTTCATTGGGTTCATGTTATGGACTTCAATTTTAAAATGCACTTGATTTAACACTCCTGTCACAGGTACAAAATTTGGTGGTGTACATTGTGATTAATCTATTCAAAAGTAACGGCTCACTAAATATCTCCATCAGACTCGTGTAACAGACCCATAAAAGGACAAGAAAGAAGCTCTATAGAAAGTAATCCATTAGGGTTCTCAAAACATATTTAATTTTTTTTATTTTTTTTCATTATATTTTTTTATTGAAGAACACAAACGACTTCCCGATAATTCCCGAAATAGATAAAAGAAATCAGTTGCGCTTTTGACAATTATAGAAGCATATAATCTGAGTAGAGGCATTAACAAGGAGAATGTTCAAGATTTTAGAGGAATAATAATGGTAATAGGCAGTGGAATATGGAATGAACAAGTTCCAAGTTCAGCATGATAGTCGAGAGGCATATTTGGAGTAAAAAAGTTCCATGCTGAGCATAAGAGACTATGGGCATAAGTGTGTTGTTTGTTGTCTTTATGGTTACGCATGGGGGCTTGGAATTGGAAGGTAAAGAACAACTTTACGGAAGCATTGATTGAGTTGACAAAATTAAAGTTTTAAGGAAAGCATCTTTTAATCTGTTATGCTGTTTATGGCGGTGAATTCGTTTCCCTTTACCTGCTCACCCTCTGCTCTGTATATTCTTCATGCTCAATCTCCATTCTTCTTTAATCAATGTCTGATACTATTACTTTCACTTTAGGGTTTTTCCAACTATCATATTCCACGCTTTCTATAATTTCAATTGTTTAACTATTACCGAATGTTCTTATGTTTACTCTTCATTTTTTAAACCAGCCTTAGTTTCATCTCATTTTTTTTTATATTAATTTTATGTTTAATATTAGTCTTTTATCACTAGTACAAAAAACATTTTTAACATCGGACTTTTTACATCGGTTGTTAAAGAACCGATGTAGAAATTTTTAAAGCCTTTCCACATCGGTTCACATGGGAACCGATGTGGAAAGTGCTTTCTACTCTGATTTAAAATAATTCTGATCGGTCATAAACTCATTTTGATCGATCATAACCAAAAAATGTGGATGTCGCTCGAGCGAGACAGTGTCGCTCACGCGAAAACCACCGAGAAGGCCAATTTTGTGCAGGTGGCGTCGCTCGAGCGAGACCAGGTGTCGCTCAAGCGAAATACAACCCGAGAATGCCAATTTTGTGCGAGTCGCGTCGCTCGAGCGAGACAGTGTCGCTCACGCGAAAAACCACCCGAGAAGGCCAATTTTGTGCAGGTGGCGTCGCTCAAGTGAGACCAGTGTCGCTCAAGCGAAATACAACCCGAGAATGCCAATTTTGTACAGGTCGCGTCGCTCGAGCGATATTATTGTCGCTTGAGCGAATGTTGACCTGCGTAAACGTCGATCAAAGTTAGCCGGATAATGTAACATGGGAGACCTCATGTTAGAATCGGATGTCGCTCGAGCGAGTATAGTGTCGCTCAAGCGAAATACAACCCGAGAAAGTGCTTTCTACTCTGATTTAAAATAATTCTGATCGGTCATAAACTCATTCTGATCGATCATCCAGTTTTGATCGGTCATAAAACCATTCTGATCGGTCATCTGATATACTATTTCACTTTCTACATCGGTTCCCCCATGAATCGATGTGGAAAGTCTTAAAAAAAAAAAAATAAGAAAAATTTTAGACAGTAAGCCCTAGACTCCACTCTTGCCCTTACGGACTCGACTCCCGGACCCAATTACGGACTCGACTCCCTCCGGAATTCTTCCCTTGCTCCTAGCCATTACCAAATTCATTCTCGCAGTAGCGAAAACCACCGTCTCCTTGCCCCTATCGCAGTAGCGAAAACCACTGTCTCTCCCATCTCCTTCCCCCAATCGAATCCCTAACCTCCATTTCCCCAATCGAATCCCCAAGCGAAAACCACCCTTGCCGTCCACCAAGAACTGCGACACGCACCAGGAACTGCGACGCGCACCAAGAACTGCGACGTGCCACCCTCGTCTTCACCTCTCTGAAACCCTCTAGGAGCTCCTCCTCATTGCACCTGCGCACCTTCGATCTCGTCGCGAACCGGAGGTGATTCGGACCAGGTCCGTGGGTCTATCCTATTGGCTTCTCATCCTTGTTTTGTCAATTACCTTTATGCATTTTCCTTGATTCTCGGATTGTTTTGTTTGGTCGTGGACTGATTCTCGCTTGGGTTTAATGTATGTAGACATGTTTATTCGGGTTTTGTATTATTATTTCCGTTTAGTTTGACTTGAATATGTGATTTTCACTTGGTTATTCTCGTGGGGTTGAGATTGGTGTTATCCAAGCCCTGTTGGGTTGGTTGATGTCGCTTTGGTCCGAGTCTCTTAGCAGAAGAGTTAAGGCTATGGGTTTCCACGCTGGGGTGTAGGGCTTTGGGGTATTGATTATATTTGGTTCTCTTGTTTTTCATTTGGGTTTGTTTCTTATGTTGTTGATTTAGGTTTGTTCTTTATGTTGTTTGTTTTGTTCCTGGAGTTTTACTTGTTGTTCCAAGTACTATTTCGAGTTTGGATTATAGTTTGAGTTGTTTAAGTTTGTTGCCTCCGAATAGAGGTAATTCCATTTTCACACTAAGCAAAGACGTCATGTAGTTATAGATATGGATCGGAGTTGGATAAATGTCAAACGTATAGAAGAAGAATATGAATTAGGGGTTGAAGAGTTCTTAGAGTTTGCACGAGAGAAATGTGGGTAACAATAGAGGTCTCTTTTATTGTCCTTGTGTGAAGTGCTTAAATTTAAGACAACTAAGTGTGAAGGATATAAGAGAGCATCTCCTTTGTGATGGATTTTGCAAGAGTTACACTAAGTGGATTTGGCATGGGGAAGTAGTAGATTTCCCAATGGCTTCGGAGACAATCGAAATCCGAGAAAGAAACCAATGATCGACTAGAGGATTTGATACGTGATATCGGTGAAGA